AAAATAATGACTGTAAACATAATAAAAAAGTTTCTTTTCAATCAGTTATTTTAACACAGTTAATGGCACCCTTTGGGGGGGGAAATTTCTAACTTTTGGTTAACAAATTTTTTGTTAAGAGGGTTTTAAATGGGCTTTGGAGGAAAAGTTCCAGCACTTCAACTTTTGGAAGATTACAAACATGGACTCTCCTGCCCTAGAAGGAGGATAATGATTATTTCATCAACTAAAAATACCTCTCTTACATAAACATACATGTTTATTCCAAATATTGGTAGAAACTTTTCATCTACACATATAACACCTTAAGCAGGAAAGACTCCAAGCACATTTACGAACAAGCATTTTATATAGTATCACTGTCTCAATAAAGTACCTACATAAAACAAATCTAAAAATAAATATGCTTTTTGAAAAGTAGACTTACTCGCTCAAAACAGGACATGTGCATAACCTTTAAGGAACACGTCAGTGTGGAAAGCAACAGACATGTGCTCTTGCCGCTTCTTGCTGAGCAGCAGACAAGCCATGGAGGAGAAAGGGGAAGTGCCTTGTCTCTGAGGCCTTGTCCGAGCTGCTCCACTGTGACGCCTGGACCCCGGGGAGCATGCCCACTCGGGGCAGTTGGCTCTGGACCAATGCAGTCTCTGGACCACACTGGTCTCGAATCCCTTCTGGTGGGATGGAGTGAGACGATAGCATCAGGACCACCTGCCCGGAGCCCAGGAACACGGCCCAGGGCTCCCTCACTGCCTGGCAGGTACCAGCCTAAACATTGACCTATCACTTGTCCCTCGGACCCATGTGCAGTGGTGGCCTGGAACAGGAATTCTTGGGAGGGAAACGTTCTCCTTTTAAGGTCCCCCCCCAGTGGATAAAGCATCCCTTTTTTATAAAAAATAAAAACTGGGAGGGAAAAACCTCTGTCCTTTATTTTGTAAAGCAAATGAGTCTGTTAATAACTTGAAGTCATGTTTTAAGAGGCAGGTCTTTACTTTAGTCTATTTAGAGCTCTCTGATAGCTGAGAAAGCAATTAGCCACATTACAATCACTTAGGCATGTAACTGGCTTTACTAATTACTTTCTCATTAACACTGTGGCAGTTCCCTGCTCTTGGTGGGAGCTCTTCAAACATCCCTTTGGCTGGTAGGGTAAGTACATGTCTTCTATGTCATAATGCTTAATTATTCACAACAATTTGTTAATATCAAGGATGCCATACAAAGGAAAAAAGCTAATAGTCACCCATAAAATGAAAGTACTTGAAGTAAAATTATGAGATTACACAAAGAATTTGAGATTTAACTGTGCTAAGTGAGATGAAAACCAGTAGAAAGTTAGGCATTAAAATTTTTAATGTAATGATATAAGACCTTGTATCTTTCCAGGTCTTTATTTTTCTATCTTCGACATGAAGTTATAAACGTATGCATCATAGGGCTACTGTGAAAACTAAAACATTTAAAGAAAATTAGAAAGCTCAGTAAACAATGGGCTTAAAAAATGCTAAAATGACAGGTGCTGCCAGACACGCCTATCTGCCCAAATGACTTAAAGCGTGCTTAGAATTAGTCTGATTTGAGCTGTAGCCTATGTATAGCTCATCTGTGAGTTTATAGGCATCTAGTGTTGATCTTTGTTTTCCATCTTCTAGGACATCAGAAATGGGCTGCGAGGGGCTCAGGATGGTTCCCAGCTCTCCTCCCACTAGGTTGTGTGACCCAGAGCCCTTTCTGGTCATCTAGTGCTGCTGGTCACTGTCACAGCATCGCAGGAGGTTTGCTGGGATGGAGACCAGGTGACAGTAGGATCACTGGTTCTTTAGAAAATTTAGCTGGTAAAGGGGAAAGCTAGAAAAGTGGTAGGTGCCTGAGAGAGAAGAAGGAAGTTGGCTGCATTCCAAGAGCAGATCACAGACCTAAGTTGTCCTTCAATTTAGTGGCATCTATAAACTTTTGATGTGCACACTCTTTGAATCATCATTTCCACACTAAAACCTTACCCAAAAGGCATAATTACACAAGTGTGCAAAGATATACATAAAGGGCATTCATTGCTATATTATTTGAGATAGCAAAACCTATTTAAAAAAAAAGAAAAGAAAGAGATGTGCACTCATGTGCAAGGATAGCCAAGATATAATGGTAAGTGAAAAACTAAATTACAGAGGACTATGAATATATGTGACACTTTCAATCTTAAAACAATGTGTCAACATGTAGAATAGGAATTCATCAAAATATGAGTCAGGAGTGGGACAGGGAACTCATTCTACATATTTATACACTTTAAATTTGTATAAACTCATATTTAATTTCTAATAAAATGTAGTAGCCCAAATCTAACATGATATCCCCATACAGAGAGGAGCTAACAGCAGGCCCAAGACCTCCATCCTCAGAAAGGTGACTCAACTCTTGGCTGGCGTCTGGGAACTTGGATTTCAGCAGGGTTTTCACCATTTCCTGATATGAACAAGTCACTGTGTCTAAACTGTCCATGCACATAAAATGATTTACACTGAATACCTGATTTCCTTCTGGGAGTCTGGGATTTCGGTTCATGATGGGAAAATGGGTGCCTACATATTGACCTCAAAAACCCTGGCTACCTAGGCTTGGGCAACCTTCCCTGGGCATTTCACAAGCACTGACATGGCTCACTTTTGGGGAATTACAAGCACGCTGTATGATTCCTCAGGAGAGGACTCTCAGATACTTGTGCCTGGTCTCCCCTGACCTCACCCCATGTACCTTACCCTTTGTTGATTCTGTTTTGTCTCCTTTTGCCACCATAAATCACAGCCATGAGTATAACACTCCCTGCTGAGTCCTGTGAATCTTCCTAGCAAATGACTTGGGGAGCCCTGAGCATGCCCTGTTATTCTTTTCCATAGCCCCTTCCTCTTGACCTTCTTAGCATCACCACGATTTGTATTTGTAATTAAACTGTATATCTTTTTCACTAAGGTCCATGAGGTTAACTCTATGTGTTGGTTACCACTATACACTACACAAATACTCAGTAAAGTTGGTAAATAAAAATAAGGGGGAGGCTGGGCGCGGTGGCTCAAGCCTGTAATCCCAGCACTTTGGGAGGCTGAGGTGAGCAGATTGCCTGAGCCCCTGGCTTGAGAAGAGCAACTTGGCAAGATCTCACCTCTATAATAAAAATAAAAAAATTAGCTGGGCGTGAAAGCGTGCACCTGTAGTTCCGGCTACTTGGAAGGCTGAGGCAGAAAGACTGCCTGAGCCCAGTAGGTCGACACTGAGGTGGTCATGAGTATACCACTGGACTCCAGCCTGGGTGATGGAGTGAGAATCCAACTCATAAATAAATAAATAGATAAATAAATAAAGGAGGAAAAAGCTGAGCTACTAATAAAAGATCTTCTGGAGAGCGAGTACAAGAGTAATTTAATGGCAAAGCTCTTTTTCAGATTCTGGAATCCCTGAGAATCACTCAAAAACCAATACCATGGCAGAACCAAACTCTATATTTAATTAAAAGTGCCCAACTCTCTTCCCCTCACCCCTCACAAGGAGAAACTTTTACCAAGACAACAGCTTCCCAGCCCTACAGGCCACGGTCAAACTGACTGTGGCCACTGGCCTCAAGGCACCCTGAGAACCACGAGGAGCAAAGCACTCCCAGGGCTCCAACCACCTAACCCCCGCCTGCTCTTTCCCTCTCCCTTGTGGCTTCTCTTCCACCCCCACCCTTGTGAAAACGGAAAGAGTCACATTAACCACCCTGGACTGCAGACCTGGAAGCCTTGGGAGCTGAACTAGTCAACCTTGCACTAACTCCAAAACGACATTCCCATTTGCCCAGAGCCGACAGGCCCGAGTGATGGCTGATGCCCTGATGTTCCAGATACTCAGCGATCACCCCTGGCAGGGATCTGTCTCAGGCAGGCCACATGCTGCTGCTGACTCAAATCCTCCCTAAGCCCCTCGTCATGTGACGCGACGGGGTTTACTGGTCTTTACATCCCTGAGTCCATTTTGCTGGGTGTATTTTCTCTACTCTATCACCTTGACCTATTGCATTCATCTAAAGTTTATCACAAGGAGAAATTAATCTGCCCTTTCTATAGTGTTTTTAGGCCCCTGCAGTGAGCTCAGTATCATGTGGTCTGGAAGAAAGCCTCCTAAACCCTGGGAAGTCTCTCTCGGTGTCCTCTGCAGGGCTGCAGCCAGCAACGGCGTCTACATCAGAGTCAGCCTTTTAGAACACAGTGTGGGAGCTCCCCGGCTGCACAGGCCCCACCCCCATCCCTTCACAACTTTCAGTTATACGTGTGTGTCTTTTTCCACCCACTCATAGGCCATTAGGAGGGACGCCCTGGAGGGTGGAGCCCGTCTGGCTCATCTTGGTGTGAAAACAGTGTGTATCAGGCAGGACCTCACAAGGCAGGTGCTTAGTGAATGTGTGTTTGGGGGAACTGTGCCTTATTTCCTCTCCCTGTAGAATGGACACAATACTTGCTATCTTTCTGCTATGCTCTCAAGAAGGAAAACACTGAAACTCTGGTCATAACAGAAAGAGGCCAAAGCAGTGGGCTTAAGTGTTCCTTTAGCCCCACCTCCCATTCTACGGATTTCAAGTTTCTGCTCCTAGAGAGGTTCCACAGATAGCTAAACAAATGACACACACAGGCGCTAGATAGGAAGGGGTTCAAACAGCGTCACATCTGCAGGCAGGAGACAAGGTCAGGTGACTTGGTGGACACCCAGCCACACGTCCGTTGTCACCGCTGCCTCTCCCCCGTCCCCTCTGGCACCCATGCCCCTGTCAGCAGGCATCTCTCCCCACCTTCTGACCCACCCCTGCCTCCTACCTTCTTCCCTCCATCAGACCCCCCTCAAATGACAGCCAGCAAACGCCTTCATCGCTCCACCCAGCACCTCTGCCTCCCACTGAGTGGGCCGACACCACCGTGCCCTGCATGGCTGCGGACACCCCTGCTCGACTCCCCCCTTCTGATGCCCTCTACCTTGCTGGCCTTCAGGATGTTGATCTGCTCCTCATACACCGTGTCTCTGTTTTTCTCCAGAAAGCCATCTGAGAGGTACTCCACCTGGGGCCACAGAAACGGAGACAGAAAGTCTTTAGTGGGCACCCCAACCCGGCTCTCTCAGAAGCTTCTTGAGAACATTCATCTCGTCCATCTCTTTTCTTTTTGAAAAGAGCTGTGAGTATAGGAAACACACAAATGTTCCCATTTACAATGCAAACCCAGTAGTGTGCAGGGTTTGCACAGTGGGAACTGAGCATTCATTCTGTGGAAGAAAATACTGTCCTAAAGGGAGTTCCCATGAAAAAAGGCTTCTCAGGCGTACCCAGGCCCACTGGATCTGCATTTTAACAAGACCCTCGATGACGTCTATGCACGTTACCATCTGAGAAACACGGGGCTGGTGCACAGCAGACAAAAAGTTTTGGAAAACTCCTACGTATACACCCTTCACGGAAATGAGCCACTGCAGAGCGACCCGGCTCCACGAAGAAGCCAAACCACCCACGCTTTCGTTGTCACACCTCCCTTTCTTCTCTCGAGCTCCAGGAGGTGGACTCTGACCTCCTCCCTTGCTGGCCTCCCCAGAGAGCCCTCCGAAACACGCATGACACACCCGACTGGGCAGCTGCCGTACTCTGTGAGGTCATTCCTGAGCCAACAGCTTGGTGTCCTGAGACAGGTGTGGTCAGAAAGGATGGAATGAGCTTATCTAAGACTCCAGGCCACTTAAATCGCAAGGGCATGCCCCTGGCCCAGAGCCCCGGAGTCCCTACGGGGGCCAGTGGAGCACCCACGCCCACAAGGAGGAGGGCCACCTTATCTGCAAAGTGGACGACGATGAAGGCCGTGTTGGACATGCGAGGCTTCTGGAAGTGCTGGCTGCCGGTGTGCCGGTCATAGAGCTTCTGGGCCCAGTTCTGGTCCGTTCCCTTGGGGACCTGCAGAGCCACAAAACAGGGCAGAGTGCCTTGTGAAGAAGAGGAGAAAGTACAGAGCTGCGACAGAAGAACGGGGTCTACAGGTAGGTTGGTTCTGTGGGTGGATTCAGCTTGCAAACTAGGACCTTTACTGTGGAGAGAACGACTCTACCATGGACGTCCAGGCTCATTCAGGCTCCTGCCCCATGCGGGTGGGCTCCGGGGTGGGGGGCGGTTGAGCTGCAAAGAAGCTACTGGTTAGCAGACGCCGGAAGTGCCAGAGGGGATGAGGGTGGGTGCCACAGGCACGGGAGCAAGGACACAGCCTGTAGGGCCACCTGAGGATGGTTCCTCCCTGCAGGTGGGCCGTGGCTCCCTCGTCACGAACACATCCACCTCCAGCACCATGCTCCGGCCTGCTCAGGTGACCTGGCCTGCTCAGGTAAGCTCCAGCCGCAGGAAGGCCCACCTCCCTAAGCACAGCTAAATGCTGCTGTCCAGCCCTGGCTCAAGTCCGTCCTTCCTGACTACTCGGGATCTAGAGTATCTCTTCTTTAGAATTCCTCTCAACTAAGCTCTCACACATCCACCAGCATGTTGTTCACTGCTGGGTTAGAGGTCTTGTCACTACGGACTGTAAGTTCATCGGTTCCAGGACTGACAGTGTCTCACTGTTGTTTTTCTGCCTGAATCGGTTCTGGCCACACGTTGGTGCTGAGTACCAATCTACGGGATACAGATTGCTAGCTTGCCCCAAATTTAAATTCAGATTTGGAGGTTGTGTTGCCTTAAGACTGCTGAAGGGCAGCCCCTTTCAAGATCTTTTTGGATGGTTTCAGAAGTTTAGAGAAAAATCTTGCTTTGTTAAAAATCCAACGGCTACTGTCACCACTCAAATTGTCAAGGATGACAACAGTTCTCCCCACAGGGAGCCACTCCCCTGCCATCCCCCACCACCACCGTACATGCCTACAGACCAGAAACAGTCCCACCCTCAGTCATGGGCCACTATTTGATCAGCTCTTCATCCATCTGGACTGTACATTTGGAACAGGCAGGGTTGAAGGTGACCCTTGCATGAGCCATTTTAAAAGGGCCTTGCACAGTAAATTAATAAGATCTGTGCCATAAGGAAAACGCTTACATACTTAGCAGCAAACTTCTTAAATCCTTTGTAAGCAAGTTGATTTTTCTCAAGAGTCAATTTGGTGTAACTAGTGTTGAATAGTCAGTGCTCAGTGCCATTGGAAGTTTAAGAAAAGAACTCTTTCTTGAAGGAGGCTATTAATTGTACTGGGCAGACAAAAGAATATACTTAATTCAGCATTTTCTATATATAGTGCTTTATATTTGTCTGCGAGCATTCTTTGTTGAGAACCACCAGGTACAAAGGAAGGAGGGTCACCTGGGTGGGGCTGCCAGGACCAGGCAGGCCAGGAGATGGGGCAAGAGGCACCACGGGGGATGGGCACCACAGGACAGACAGAACCGTGGTGACAGTCCCCACCTGAGCAAACACTTAAATGTGCTCAGAACAGAATCATCTTATCATGAACATGGAACTGGGCTTCTGCAAGAAGACAATCACTCTACACATTCACTGGTTCAGATTAGCATGGATTAATAAGCAGAGCAGACCAAAATCAAGGTCATGTGTTCACGTTTACCGACAAACAGCAGTCTCTCCTTTTACTGCCCACCCTCCCCCAATGGAAAATAAGGGCCAGCAGGAATTCACAATTAAGAGTCTCCGACAACACTAACAGCTAATGTCCATGGTACTCCGTATTCGCCAGGCAGTCTTCTAGACATCTAGGATGCATACACTCATTCGATCCTCATACAATCTTATGAGGTAGGCACTATGTTTGTCCACATCTTGGAGGTGAGAAAACGGAGGCAGAGGTTAAGCAGTTCGCCCAAGGTCACACAACTGAGAAGCAACAGATCTCTGGGTTCAGGGCAGGCTCTGGGTGTGCACTCTTGGCTCTTACGTGCTCCCACCTGACAAGAATTTTAAAGGGTGCCACCAAGGCAGGTCCAGGAGGGAAGCACACATCTCTAACACTCTTTCCATAAAAGCTTATTTTTATTTTTATTTTTTTGAGTCAGGGTCTCATTCCTTCGCCCAGGCTGGAATGCAGTAGCACGCACCCTCATAGCCACCCCAGCATCGGCCTGCTGGGTGTCAGCGATCCTTCTCCCTCAGCCTTGCAAGTAGCTGGAACTACAGGTGCACGCTACCATGCCTGGCTCATTTTTTATTTATTGTAGAGATGAGGTTTTTGCCAAGTTGCCCGGGCTGGTCTCAAACCCCTGGGCTCAGGTAATTCTTCCACCTCAGCCTTCTGAGTAGCCGGAACTACAGACATGTGTGACCACGCCTGGCTATTTTTTAAATTTTATTTTATTGTAGAGATGAGGTCTCACCAAGTTGTCCAGGCTGGTCTAAACCCATGGGCTCAGGCGATCCACTCGCCTAGGCCTCCCAAAGTGTTGGGACGACAGGCTGAGCCACCAAGCCCGGCCTAAAAGTTTATTTTTAAAAATAGGAGAAGAAAGAAAAAACCCCGGATTCTGAGAGCATCTGGATTGTGGCTACCAGCAGCTCCGGAATGTGCAGCTAAACTGAATCCTTTTAAAAGGACCCACAAGCTGGGCTCGGTGGCTCAGCCTGTAATCCTAGCACTTTGGGAGGCCAAGGTGAGAGGATTGCCAGAGCCCGCAGGTTCGAGACCCGCCCGGGCAACTTGGCGAGACCTTAACTCTACAATAAATCAAAAACAATCAGCAGGGCATGGTAGCACGCGCCTGTAATTCCGGCTACTCAGAAGGCTGAGGCAGAAGGATCGCCGGAGCCCAGCAGGTTGAGGCTGCGGTGGCCAGGAGCGTGCCACTGCACTCCAGTCTGGGCAACAGAGTGAGACCCCAACTCAAATAAATAAATAAATAAAATAAAAGGACCCACATGTGGTTTCAGACAAGCCGCTCTGTGCTCCTCTCAAAGCCAGGTGGAGCACACTGGGCCAGAAGCCTAGACTTCAGCTCTGTTCTCATCCAGGTGGGCTGCATCCCTCAGAGGCCTCCTTCCTCTGACCTGTGCTGCTGGCCTCTGGACACATCAGAAAGTGAAGGTCCCATCTGTATGACATGCCCAGAACAGGCAAATCTAAGAAGACAGATCAGTGGCTGCCGTGGGCTGGGGGGTGCTGGGGAGTGGCTGCTCACGGGTTTGAAAATGTTCTAAAGTTGACTGTGGGGGTGACGGTTGCACGACTCTGCAAATACACTAAAAACCAGGGAACTGCATACTGCAATGGGTGACCTGCATGGTGTGTGTGCCGATTAGATTTCATTAAAGCTGTTAAAATACATTAAACCTGATTTTACTCCTTGCCATTAAAATAAGATAGCAAAGAAGGGGTGGGGAGAGTGCAAGTCTAGGGGTTTCCCAGTTCTTTTTCCACCAGCGGGGGACGGGGGTACACACCAGGCCCAGGATAGCCTTTCGCAAATGTCCTCTTTGAAACCTGAAGCAAGCCGGGCTTGGTGGCTCAGCCTGTAATCCTGCGCTTTAGGAGGCTGAGGTGAGTAGATTGCCTGAGTCTGCAGGCTTGAGACCCGCCTGGGCAATTTGGCGAGACCTCATCTATACAATAAATCAAAAAATTAGCCAGGCGTGGTAGCACACACCTGTAGTTCCAGCTGCTCAGAAGGCTGAGGCGGAGGGATCGCCGGAGCCCAGCAGG